CTTTGGCTCACCTTAACTTCACCCGTCTTCTTTGCTCCTTCACATCCTTTTTCAGTTTACCACTAAACAAATTACGCGATCAAATTTTGTCAACTAAATTTTTTATATAATCCAATTCTACGTGTATTAAATTTGAAATGATTCAAAAACGTCCACACCGATATAACGGGCAGAATATAACATTTTAGGTTTTTTGTTGCAGAAAACACTAACCAAATGATAGTGTACTAGTGGTTCCACTTGAAATTTTTTTTGTCATGTTCATAGATCAATTACCTATAAACATAGATTTATTTAATCTTTTTATTTTGTTAGTCGAAATAGCGTCATGCTTTGTATTCGTTAAAAAATTTGATAACTACTTAATAGCTCAATGATAAAAAAAAAAAATTTGAATTATCCCTTAGACGTTATATAAAAAAAATTTCATAGTTAAAACTTCAACTTTTATAATTTTTATATCACATCCACYGTAATATAACAAAAACGGTGGTCCGGATTAAATTTAAATTTGTGAACATAATACCAAAAAACAAATAAACCTACTGTTTTTTAAATTATAATAACTATCTTTTTATAAATATTAAATTATATTTAAACCAAAAAAAACTTGTTTACATGAATTACATCCTTAATTTGAATTTGAAACAAAAAAAATCTCTAGTTATTCAGTGAGGAGCATAAAATTGGTTACCGGGTCATAAACCATGCACTTAGACTATCATCGTACGCATGAGCTCCTGCAATCTGGATATATTTGTCTTATAATAACTATTTATAAAATAAAAATTTGTGATACAAATCTTTTGATAAGTTTGTTTGTCTTTTTGGATCGGTTGGCGAATGTAGCGGAACGTAATATTTCTTTTCTCATATCATCGATTCACCAAAGGGATGGTGGCTTAGTGGTAACACAAGAGAGTTGGTTTCTTTGTGCTCTGGATTCAAATCCCTTTTAAAACAGAAAATTATTATTTAAATCAAAATTTTCAAAAATCGTCTCCGAATACCGAAGATATTATGAGCTAAAGGTCTGGAACTCCAGTATATGCATAAAAAATATCATCGACTCTCTTAGATTTGGCAGAAGAAAGTCATTTTAGTTTATTAGTTTTCTTTGTCAACTGAGTTTTGGTCTTTGGAAAAAACAAAGATGGAGTCAAACTTTTGTGTTCAGAAATTTTACAAAGATTGATGACAGGACAGCACCACTTGTTGTAATAGATTCGAACATCTATAACATTTTCATGCTGATTTATGTTATTTAGTACATGGACCTAATGGTCTTATTGTACTACTACACGTTTAACCCATAACACAAATCATGCAGCTAGCCAGCTACACTCATGTCGGCAGTGTATGATATAATGGATATAGCCACGTGTTAACCGAATAGAAGATAAAGCCACGTGAAATAGGTACGGATGCTTAGTTCGAGACAGATCCAATAATATAGTTGAAAATAACATAACAAGACTGATTAAATTCTTTGAAAAGGAAAGTCAACGAAAGTATTTAGTAATGGTAATTGTAACATGTCAGCACCTCTGGGTTTTTCATCTTAAAAAAATAATAAAATTAAGAAAAAAGGAGATGAATTTTTTCAAATGAGAAACTTTCATAAAAATTTGAGAGACTCATGTAGCCTTTGTCATAACATAATTGATTCAAACTTTTTTTAATTTCAATTTAATTATACAAATTAGACTTGATAAAATTTATTAGTATTATATATGATGAGATACTCTAATAAATATCTCACCACAGAAATTGCTTTTACTTCCATAGCCTTTGGACATTCGTTGGTGGTAGTAGTTGTGGAAGGAACATGCAAGTGACAAATAAACGGCTATACTCTCTACCAAGTGGTCACCACTTACCACAACATTAATAAATAAATTATGAGACATTTATAAAAATACTATTTTTGTGTTTATATTTGTAAAAATGCCACTAATTATGATTTTTTAGAGTCTGAATCTTAAAATTCTAAACCCTAAAAAACTTTTGACTCCTAAAACCCCTTAAACCTTCAAAACTAAACTCTAATACAACATAATTAACCTAAACATAAATGATATAATGAATTAATAATTTTAAAAAGTAGTATTTTTGCAAATATTGTAAAAAAGTGGCATTTTTGTAAAGTGACACTTGAAAAGTGGCATTTTTTGAAAATTTTCATAAATTAAATAGTAATACTAATATATTTTGGAAAGAATTTGAATCCTTTTCAAAAGTTTGGATGATGTAAAATAGCTTATTTTGAGATTTTGTTTTGTAAAATATGTGGTTGATATTTGGGACAATTGTAAAAATATCATTTTTAGTGTGTCATTTTACAAAAATGTTATAATGGATTGTCTATTTGCAAAAAATACCATTAATCATAGATTTT